TACTTTGTATCTCCTTTTGATGCTTCCTCTACCATTCAATATGTTGCCTATAGAAGCTTATTTTTGACACTTGGAGGCTTAAATTTTTTTTTCTTTGAGTTCTTTCAGTTTAAGATACACTGAGAGTGTTCTTCCTTTTGAGGTTTTCTAACTCTAAGTCTTTGTACATTTCATTATAATACATTACTTTCTCTTCTCAAGCTGCCCTTTGAAATTTTCTGGTCAGCTCTTTTACTTCATCATTTCTTCATTTGTCTTAGCTGCTCTATGATTAAGATCAAGTTTCAGAGTCTCTTCTGACATCCACTTTGAACTTTTCTTTAGTTCTTGTATTTTTAATGACCTTTTGTTGTCTTCATGTATAATATTTTTGGCATCGTCCCATAGCTCATCGGGTCTTCTGTCACTCATGTTGCAATGCAGAAAATCTGTTCTTGAGATGTTCTCAAAACTGAGGTGGGTAGATTCAAGGTCGTATTTTGGTTGCCATGAACTTGTTTTCATTTTCTTCAGCTTCAAGCTGAGCTTACATATGAGCAACTGACATCTGTTCCAAAGTCGGCCCCTGGCCTCATTTTAGCTGCTGCTATTGAGTTTCTCCCTCATCTCTTCTCAGAGATGTAGTTATTTATATAATTGGTTTTGATGTTGTTGAAAGAAAGGTATTTGCAATGAAGAACCATTGGTTTTGTAAAATCATAACATGCAATCCCTAGCTTAATTTCTATCATCAACTCTGTATTTTGCAGCTACTGTTCTTCTTCTTTGTTTCCAACTCTTGCATTCCAATTGCCAATAATTATCAATGCATCCTGATTGTATGTTTGCTCGATTTCAGACTGAAACCATTGGCAAAATTCTTCAAGTTCTGTATCATTTGCTTTAGTGGTTGGTGCATAAATTTGAATAATAGTTGTATTGATTGGATTCCTTTGTATGCTGACAGATATAAACTTATCACAGCACTGTACTTCAAGATAGATATTGAAATGTCTTTTTGATGATACAATGAATGCAACACCATTCCTCTTGAATCTCCCATTCCAGGCATAATAAACTGTATGATTTTCTTAATCAAAAGGGCCAAGACCAGTCTATTTCAGCTCACGCATCCCTAGGATATCAATCTTTATGCATTTCATTTCATTTTTGATGACTTCCAATTTTCCTAGATTTGTATTTCATACATTCCCAGTTTAAATTATTAATAGATGTTTACAGCTGTTTCTTCTCATTTAGAGCCTTGCCCCAACAGCAAACAAAGGTACCAAAGGCTTTGCTCCCACAGCTCTACTCCACCCATGTCATGATGGTCAACTTCCCTTTCAGAAGGCAGCTCTTCCTCGGTCATATTTTGAATGCTTGCAGACGGGAGGGGCTCATCTTCCAGCATTATATCTAACAATGGTCCATTGCTACTCATAAGGTTTTCAGTGTATCTAACAATATTACACTGTTATTCGTGTGGTTTGTACTCACTGATCCCTCAGAAGTAGGCAGCTTTTTCCTTCTTCCTGGCTGTTCTTAGTCTGGAAGCTCTGCTGAAACCTGTTCTCTCGCTGATATTTGAAAATACCAGTGCCATTGCATCACAGCAACACACAAGCCACCACGGTACAACAAATTGACAGACAAGAGGGGTTCCAATTAGTTAGGGACTATTAAAATCCTTTAATAATGTTTCATTAATTTCTCCATAAGGTTTTATTATATTTATTCCCATGTACATTGGAGGCTTTCGTACTATTATAAATGGGATCACTACCAAACTTTCTCATTGCTTACTGACAGTGTTCAGAAACACTCCTGCTTCTTATATGGGGATCTCTGCACACTCCCCTTTGTTTCAAAGTTTGGAGATATTCTTGGATTTCCCAAGTAGAAAAGCCTGCTTTCTGCAAATAGCGGCAATATTAATTTCTTTTCAAACTTGAGGCCTTATTTCCTTTTCTCGTTTTATCACCTTGGCTAAGACCTTGAAAACAGTGCTGATTATTAGTAGCGATGACAGAGACCTCGATTTTGTCTCTGACCTTACAAGAGACCTAAAGTTTCATTTCGATGAATAATCTTCAATGTAGGTTTTTAATAGATATTATTTATATATAAATAATAGATATTATTTATTACTCTGGAAGGGCAATGGTTAAATGTTTGACTACAAATTTGAAACTTACCCACTGGCTCTGTGGGAGAAAGACTTGGCAATCTACTCCCAAATAGGGTTTCTACGATTTGAAATCAACACAACACACCTAGCAATAACGACTTCTATTCCTACGTTGCTAAGATCATGAGTGGTTACGAAATTTTTGTCAAATACAGTTTCTGTGAATATGAGGGGGCTTCAAACCATTTATGGAAAACTGGAATGGGATAATGGGATTTTCCCACAGACTTTTTGAAACCCTCTCTTATTTTCCCCATCAATATTTTTAAGTGACAAATTGTCCAGTACATTTTCTAAAGTCGATATAGCCATGCAATACAAAAGCAAGCGGCACTTCTCATTAAGTAAGACATGTTTGGTACCAATCTTTTATTAAGGAGCTCTGGTGGCGTAGTGAGTTACTCATTGGGCTGCTGACAGCAAGGTCAGCAGTTCCAAGCCACCAGCTGCTCTGACGGAGAAAAGAGGTTTTCTACTCCCATAAACAATTACAGTCTCAGAAACCCACAAGCGCAGTTCTACCCTGTCCTACAGGGTGGACGGAATCAACTCAAGGGCAGTGAGTAAGTGACTCTTTTAATTGCCAATATTTTACCAAATATTTTACATTATTTGATATTAGATTATCTACCTTTTTGTGCATTTTAAACATTTTGCCTGTCTAGGAATGTTTATTTAAGTTTGCCACCACAAGCTATTTAATAAAATTCTGTCTTATTTTGGATACAATCCATTTATTACACAATGTCAATCAGAAGATTCATTCTTTAAAGAGAGTCAGGCCATCATGTGGATTCGCTTTTGTTTTGACTGTGTTATGGATTCCACTATGTTTTATCACTCTTGGCTAAAGAATTCTAAAGAAGAGGCTTATAAGTAATATAATCTCAGCAACCTTGCCCATCACTTAGATTCATATGAGCCCATCTGCAGGGCTTCACTTTTAATCAATAGACCATGGTTGCTGGGAAATTACATGGGATATATAGAATTTTCAGCTGGTATAACACAAAACTCCTTTGTCTGGTAAATGGTATTTACTTCACCTGAAATATAACTTTTTAACGACCTCACTTCAAAATCACTATTGGAGATCCAGGAAAGTAATAACTAAGCAGATATTATGCAAGACCATCACACACCCTTCATCTCAGTGCACGCACCTACAATACTATAAAGATATAGATATAGAGTGCAATCAAATTGAAAATGTTACCTGTCTGAAGAACTTGTGATCAGTTACAGATTTAAAACTTTGTTCAATTTTAATCCTCGTAATATTAAAATAAACCAATTCTATTCTTTCTTCTACCAATTTAATAGCCTTTTCTCATATTCTCAAGACTCCAGTAAGTTCCCCACACACAAAAAAATTTGGAAAATTTCAATTTTATAGGAATATTGAACCAAAAGATAGTACAATTAACACCAGTATGTCCTTTATCTGAATTAACTGATAAAATTTCTTTAAACACACACACTCTCTCTCTCTCTCTCTTTAAAATACGCGTGCCTACTTTATTTTTCCAAACCATTTTATGGTAAGTAGTTTGGTGGCATAAGGCTTGGCCACTAATAAACAGATTGGTGGTTCAAACCCACCTGCAGTTCCCTGGGAGACTGGGTGATCTACTTCCCTAAATATTACAGACAAGAAAGTCCTATCAGTAGTTCTATTTTGTCACATGGAGTAGCTATGTTGAAATTACTTGGTGGCACTCAATAACAACAGCAGTGCACGTGACACTTGACTCATAAAGATGTCTGTATGAATCTACTATGAACAAGGGCAAGCTTCTAAGTACCCACAGTACCATTGTTGGCGGTGTTCTGTGCCAGCCAGTCGATTGCAACTCATGGTAAGCCAATATACAATGCAACAAAACACTGGTTGGTCCTGTACCATCTTCCCAATCATTATGTCTTAGCTCACTGTTGCTAAGTCATGGTGTCAAAATCATCTAGTATATAGTCTATGCAAGACAGTATACTTGTTCAGTTCTTAAATACTGACCAGAAGGTTGGAGATTTGAATTTACCATCGACTCTACAGAAGAAAAAAACTAGAAATTTGTTCCTGTAAAGATTAACCTGTTGGCATCAAATCCAATGAAATCCTTTAAATCTGTGTTGGTGCATGCATGCTTTAATCCAGGGTGCAAATAAGTATCATGTGTTAGGCCTGGTTATCACATCACCTTCTCCCTGCCATCAAGTCAATCCCAACTCATGGAGACCCTGTAGAACAGGGTAGAACTGCCCCTTTGGGTTTCCAAGACTGTAACTTTCTATGGAAGTAGAGAGCCCTGTGTTTCTCCCTCGGAGTTCCTGATGGTCTTTAGCTTTTTCTATTTTTTCATGGCATTGACATTTTTGAAGAGGCTAGGCCAGTTGTCTCGCAGAATAGCCTAGCACATGATTTGTCTGATCATTTCCTCAATCTGTGTCCTTTCCATTACATCACACAAAGAGGCACATAATGTAGGTCTTGGTCCCTTTGTTGGTGACACTAATTTTGCTCATTTGGTTAACTAAGTCTGCTTTTTGTTTTTTCCATTATAAAAAGTACTTTTTCTCTTTGGAAATATTGAAGAGATTCATGGAGTAAAGTGTTGAGATTGTGAGAATACCCAGTTCCTAATAGCAACCTTTCCACCAAGTGTGGCCTCTTGCCAGGATGAATTCTCATGATGGTGGAGTTTCTAGCAGCCCTTGTATACTCTAAGCCAGGATTTGAAGTTTTAACATGCTATTTATAATCCTCTAAATGTATTTTGTGCTCCAATTGGTTTATCACAATACAATAATAGTAAGGAATACTAGGACATACCGAGCTTCATCAGGGTGGGTAACTCGTACGGAATCATTTGGTATATAGATCAAATTTGTATCTTCTATCTTATATATTGCATGACCTCCAATATCCGCCATCTTCCTCCTTTTAGTTATTAACACAATATAATATCCTTCTAAGAATCTTACAAAACCTGTGCAACGAAAAAAGAAAGATAAGTATCACATTTTATAATTAATAATGCTCTTACATGTCATCAAATACATGTTTTAAAGTCCCAAGTTTCAGATACATTTCTTACTTTATTATTTATCTCCATGATTTAGAACCATAAGTTTTTCAGTTGTCTTAAGAATTATTTTCTGAAAGAACTGAAAAGAAGTTTCACTAGTGAGGAGACCTATATGGCCAGTAAACATATGAGAAAATGCTCCCAAGCATGCAAATCAAAACAACCATGAGACACCATCTAACACCTTTGAGGCTAGCCCAAATCAGAAAATCAGAGACCAAGTGTTGGGAGGGATGTGGCGCAATAGGAACGCTCCTACATTGCTGGTGGTCCTGTAGATATGTACAGCCGCTATGAAAAGCGATCTGGCGATACTTAAAAAATATGGAAACTGAGCTACCTTCTGACCCAGCTATCCCTCTTCTGAGTATATACCCAGAAGAGCTAAGAAATGAACCATGACCAGTTGTATGCACTCCAATGTTTATTGCAGTGCAATTCACAATCGCAAAGGGTTGGAAGCAATCTAAATGTCCATTGGTAGACGAGTGGATCAGTAAACTCTGGTACATACACACAATGGAGTACTTACTATACATCACTAAAAAGCACTGATGAGCACATGAAACACGTCTTTTCATGGGAAGAGTGGAGGAAATTATGCTGAGCGAAGTCAGCCAATCACAAAAGGAGAAGTACAGCATGAGTCCCCTGAGGTAAGTGTAGTCAGCACGGTAGGTATAGAAGAGAAGCCACCTATATCATAACACTTGGGTTAAGATACAGGGAATTGGGAGGAAGTTGGACCAAACCCAAGGAGGTACATGTTGGTACAACACAATAATGGGGAAAGCGGGGAGGGGGGAGGGGGGAGAAAAGAGGGGGCTGAAAGTGAAATGATGACTGAGGGAGCAGGGCACTAATCCACTCAGGGGGAGAGTACTGGTCTTGTCTCCACAGAATCGGGAGTGGGCACGCAGACCTTACCAAGATGCACCAAACATGAGAACAGCGTGGTCACATGGAAGAATGCGTGAAAAGAGAGAGCTACACGGCTGGCCCCAACCAAAGCCAAACTGATGCCCTCCCTGGAAGTGGGTGTGGCGGAGAGCAGAACTGAACCCACAGGTTGGGGAGAGGGGTCAGCGTGCCACACCCACACAGAGGCAGGCCCGTAGGGTGGAAGAGAAAGAGAGAGATGGACTGGACCCCACGCTGGCACACCAGGCTCAGAGGATGACGTCCCTGTGGGGAGGTAATGGGACACAGAGGGGACTGGGCAAATGACAACAGCACGTGTCATGCTGTCCCCTTATTGGAGCACAGTGTGACAGAGGACATTTCTGGGGTCACATGGGGGAAGGAAGCAGTGCAGTCTGAACCCCCCAAAATGGAGCAAATCAAGAAGGGAACATACCTGAATAAACAATCCCAAGGAGAAAACAACGGGACCAACGGTTCCTGGGGAACAGGGGAGAGGGGGAGGAGGGGGAAAGGAAGTAGTGTTAACAAACTCAGGGACAAGTGATCCAAGATTGGTGGCGAAGGGGGCGTGGGAGGCCTGGTAAGGCTTGAGCAAGGGTAATGTAACCGAAAAGAAATACTGAAACCCAAATGAAGGCTGAGCATGATAGTGTGACAAGAGGAAAATAAAAGGAAATAGAGGAAAGAACTAGGAGGTAAAGGGCATTTATAGAGGTCTAAATACAGGTATGTAAATATGTAAATATACTTATTTATGATGGTGGGGAAATAGATATATGTGCATATATTTATAGGTTTAGTATTAAGGTAGCAGATGGACATTGGGCCATCACTCAAGTACTCCCTCAATGCAAGAACACTTTGTGCTATTACACTGACACTCCATGATGCTCACCTTCCTGGCACAATTGATGAAGACAAATGTGTGCATAAGCAAATGTGGTGAAGAAAGCTGATGGTGCCCAGTTATCAAAAGTTATAGGGTCTAGGGTCTTAAAGGCTTGAAGGTAAACAAGTGGCCATCTAGCTGAGAAGCAACCAAGCCCACATGAAAGAAGCACACCAGCAGGTGTGATCACGAGGTATAGAAGGGATCAGGTTTGAGCATCAAAGAAGAAAAAAATCATATTATTGTGTGCTCACCTTCCCGATACGATCACTGAAGACAATTGGATGCATAAGCAAATGTGTTGAAGAAAGCTGATGGTGCCTGGCTATCAAACAATATATAGCATCTGGGATCTTAAGGCTTAAAGGTAAACAAGTGGCCATCAAGCTGAGAAGCAACAAAGCCCACATGGATGAAAAACATCAGACTGTGTGATCACGAGGTGTCAAAGATATCAGGTATTAGGCATCAAGGAAAAAAAATCATATCATTGTTAAGGAGTGGGAGTGCAGATTGGGGACCCAAAGCCCATCTCTGGGCAACTGGACATCCCCTTACAGTCTCTGAAACCCACTGAGGCCGTTCTACTCTGTCCTTCAAGGTCACTATGAGTTGACATCAATGGCAGTAAGTTTGGAGTTTGTATAGGGTAAAGTAGAACTGCCTTCCAGTGTTTTCTAAGATATAACCTTTACAGAAGCAGATTGTTAGGTGGGTTCTAATTGATAACTAAATAGCAGTGCACTTAACCATTGTCCCACAAGGGTTCCTAGAGACAAGATCAGTCGGTAAAACTGCATCTTCATGTCCTGTATACTATTCCTTATATTTGCCTCTGAACTTTCTAACACATAATCAAATTAAATACATGTAATTGTGCCATACACAGTATCTTTGTGATAAAAAACAAATCAACTGCTTGCAAGAGCTACTCCCAGTTCCAAGAACTAATTTTTAAGTTAGTCCTCCTTTTTAAAAAGAAGAGGAGACCTTGTGATACAGGAACAGAAACTTCAGGAAATGTCTACTGTAATGTCAAGGGTACACACACATCTTCAGGGTATTTCATAAGCCAAACCACAATTCAATCACCATAATGCTCTACAAACAAAGAATATAGGCAAGGCACCTAGCTCAACAAAGGCCTAATTAAATTTGAAGATAAAATTAATTTAGACATCGAAGGCTACAGTTCCCCAAATGTTCTCTTTCTGAGTAATAAGTTAATAAGTTCTGGGGGAAGAGGTGAGCAGTGAGCAAACAGACCAGGGAGATCTTGGGCAAAGCAGACTTGAAACAAAACAACAACAACAAGCATGTACGTTCTCATAATCCTGTGCTAGTATGCCATGGGGATCTCTACAGGGTTGACCACCAATCTCTACATTGGCTTCACCATGCAGCACACTTACCACCCACAGAGAGAGATTTTGTTAAGAACTTCACTACTACCACTGTGGCCAATTGTCCTAGAGTAGACTCCATCTAAATGTACTAGAAAGAATGGATAGAACCTTCTGCGAATCCACTTTGGGAAATGTTGATGAAAAAGAATAGACCTCATGAATTCTGGGTTGCTAGAGGGAAGACTCAATTTGCAGCAGCTTAACCTGAAAAGGAATGTATTTTAAGAATACTGAGGTGATCTATGACACTCCTGGACAACAGTGTGACTGAGTCTCAAAAAAATAACAAACACACTCACACAAAAAAACTCAAGATGTGTCTCTGAACATCTCTTGCAAAGGGGTTGGTGATTTTGAACTGCTAAGGATGCAGATAGCAGCCCAACGCAGAAGCTACTACACCACTAGTAAATAAAAAGACTTCTTAAAGTTCTATAAACCATTTCCAGTATTTACTTCTGAGCTTTCTAACAGATAAGGCAAATTAAATACATTTAATCATACCATACACCGTGTCTGTATGATAAAAACCACACAGGTGCTTTGGGATGCTATCTGTAAGGTCAGCAATTCAAACCCACTAGCCACTCCTTAGGAGAAAGATGAGGTTGTCTACTCCTGTATAGACTTAGAGTCTCACAAGCTCAAGGCCAGGTCTACTTTGCCCTATAAGGTCAATGAGTCGAAATCCATTTGATGGTGGTGGGTGGATGAAGCATATACCCCAGAACATTGTTAAAAACAATAGAGCAATCACCAGCAAATAATGTTGAATAAGAGCTGATACAAGGGGCTCTGGTGGCACAGTGGGTTACACATTGGGCTGCTGACCACAAGGTCAGCAGTTCAAAACCAGCAGCTGTTCTGTGGGAGGAAGATGAAGCTTACTACTCCTGTAAAGATTTACAGTCTTGGAAACCCACAGGGACAGTTTTATTTTGTCCTTTGGGGTCACTATGAGTTTGAATCAACTCGAAAGCAATGAGTTTGAGTTTTTGAGAAGAACCACTACAAGGTGCCCTGACGGTCGGTGAGATTTAGGGTTAGCTGCAAAGCCTTCAGGAAAAAGATGATGCTGTCTGCTCTCGTCCAGATTTACAACCCTAGAGCAGTTCTCTCTGTCCAACAGGGTGCCATGAATTAGGTGACGGTGAGTTTTTAAGAGCTGGCATTAGTCACAGCAATTAGTGGAGGCACAGAGCAGGGGAGCCTAGGACATCAAGCTTAGTAAAATAGAGGCCTGTGAATAAGAGGAAGACCCTCAATAAGAAGTACTGACACAGCGGCTGCCACAATGAGCTCAACACAGCCCATGGCTCTGAACACCACCCACCATGCCGAGCAAAACGAATGAAGAGAAATGAGCAGAGACTCAGTATAATGCGGGGGCACCATTAAGCACACCAACATACACATAATGGGAATACCAGAAGAAGAATCAAGAGAAAGAAATAATTGAAAACTTGCCAGATTTGATGAAAAATATGAATCTGTACATCTAATAACGCCACAAATTCCATGGAGGACAAATGCAAAGAGATCCTCACCCAGACAAAGAAAGCATAGAGTCAAAACATTAAAAAACAAAATACTCCCTCAATGCAAGAATGCATTGTTCTATTAAATTGGCATTCTATGATGTTCACCTTCCTGACACAACCGCTGAAGACAAAGTGGGTGAA